ATTGCCTCCTCCCATGGTGGCACATCATTTTCAGGATGACAAAGTAAAAGCAGGGGTAGAGGAGGACCAGAGGGAGGAGATTATTAGAGACTTATGAGGCAGTCATAGTAACAATCAAGGATTAAAATCATTAAGAAACCCAGTCGGGCAAATATTATGGCTGCCCTCGAACAAAATACATCAGATGCTTTGCTATTTATGAAAGCAAAGCACAAGTCTTCTATTGAAGTAGGAAGCAAAGCAATAAATATAACATAAACAATAGTAGGTAACAGAAATAAAATCTAAAGTATTTCATGGTAGTACAGAAAGAAAAAAGAGGCAATAAAAAACATCAACTTATTATTAAAGCACGAATGCCGTAATGTCAGCTACAAAAAGTAATGCAAACGTTAAGTCAAATATTAAAAATTTCATAAATAAAACATCACATTCTGCTGCATAAGAGGAGCAACTGTTAGGTGAGAGGTCACCGGCTACAGAGATGCAGTAGGAGGATTGAAAATTGCAATGCAGGAAGGACACAGCATACATTTCACACGTGCAGGGTCAAGTAGAGGTGAATATAAGCAGAGAGATGACAGTACCTTGGGTGTTTTCGTGCTTCTGCCTGTTCTGACATCTTTTACCAGGGTCAGGTCCAACAGCTCTGTGTCCTAATGACAACACACCCACACATAGAGCACAAACACACACACAGTCAGCTGTTATCTGGGAGCTAAAGGCCTCCTGCTGTTTCCTGTTAAGGATTTAAGCCGACCTGGAAAGAACGTGTGCATGCATGTATGTGTGTGCAATGGTACGCTGTCTTATATGCTTTTTGCATACCTTTTAAAGGTATCCGCCCAGCCTTTGACTACACATTGTATCTCTACAGTTCTTGTATATGAATACATAACCTTAACATTAACAAGCCTCTTGATTAACAAAGCTAAAAAAAATAAATAAATTCCAACATTCTTGGAATTGTCTGTGAAAAATAAAAACAGCTAATCCCTGAATGGCACACAGTTTGTGCTTCTCATGTATTTTCATACTTTCAGGTGACAAAGCTAACCTCTGCTAACCTTTTTGAACATCTGGGTGGCCACTTATGATCGCAAGGCGATTGCACAAGTCACCTGATGGGAGGCAATCTGTCTCCAAATAATCACGGTCCAACTCAGACTGACTCACTCTCAACAGGTTGGGGAGGCTTTGCAAGTAATTGATGTCTAATTTATGAACACTGACAGTTTGCCAATGTGTTGCAACCAATCTGAATCAGTCTGTGCTGCTGAGTGCAACTTGTCTGCTGTTCATGTCGTTGCAGCAGCTGACTCAACTCAGCTGGTTGACAAACTAGCTGTATTCTGGTTATATCAGTTAAATCACCATCTTGCAGCAACTATTTGTGGAGGCCTTTATTAATATTTGTTTCAAATCTATGTGGTTCTGATTTGACTGACTTTGAATGTAAGTATTTACTGTACTTTTCTGTGTAACGCAAATTTCTCTGTATGTAGATGGCAACAGAGTTGCTATTTTCACTGCTTTATCACAATAAATCATCATATTATCACAAAACGTTTGCATGTAATTACCAACCTGTTGCTATTTAACTGTAAGCTAACTCAGACTGATATCTGACCAAGTCAGTGTAACTACCATTTGAAGACAGGAACTGGCTGTGAGTGGTGTTAGGAATAAGAGAAATATTTTTAATGTGTATCTGCTCATTATATTGTTTTATGTACTTTAATAAAGGCTTGTAGAGCAAGGCCACTTTTAACTCACAAACTAAGTGCTCAGCCAGACTGAAAAACAGGAAGTTTTAGTGCACAGCCATATTAATAGATAAGACACTGAAATGAGGAACTTGCCATATAAGCAATGTTTACTACCAAAATAACACCTATATGAGGCACAGTTTATGATTCTAATGTTAGAGAGCTCTTGCAACTGACGTTTGAGCTGTGCAGAGGTCTCGCTCTCTTCCGGAAGATGATTGAATAAAAGAAATATCAATATTTGAACACACTATGAGTCGGTTTTCTCTGTTCTGTCATGGGGACAAAAGAATCGGGGTTTAATAGTGGTCACAAACTTCAAAGCAACCATTTGAAAGGTAAGAAAACTGTAAAATCATTACACATGGTGGGAATCATTTTGGCTCTGCTATGATCTCCAACTGCAGCATTTAGTATATCTTTTTCTCTGCATTCCAAAAACATAACTGGTTATTGTTAGCACAGTGAACCTGAATGTTGTAAATATGTAAGCAGTTTATGTAGTAGATAAAGGTCACAGACAAGACTATGTGGAAGCAAGATATTTAGCATCTTATAGCAAAACATAACATAGCAACAGATCAGACTAACAGCTAGACTGTATTGGTTATATTTTTGTGTTTGTAAGATTAGAATAAAAAAAATAATAAAATTGCTTCACAGGTGCACAAAAAAGAATCAAAAAAAAATTAAACAAAACTCAAAAGGAAAAATAAATTAAAAAAACCAATCTTCATTAGCAAATTAATTTAGTCAAATGTGCATAAAATAAGAAGGTAATGAAACATTTAATGATTCATCTTTGATTCAGAATCTAGTCTGAAAAAAGTTCCAGTTTTAATGACTGAAATACTGAATATTGATGAGTCACCAAATCAATTAATGTCACTTTTTGAGGTATCAAGCTAAATTTGTTCCTCATCATTTAATATCTACAGCCAGTCTAAGAGAGTTATATCTAAGACAGCTGATTTTTGTGCTTAACCTTGTTTTGGTCGGTCCAGTAGAGGTAAAATCCATGTGGATCCACATGCAGAGTCACTGGATTCACAGTGGACAAATCCTAGGGAGACAGGTGGAGAGAATGAAAAAAACCGTAAAACATCATAAAAACTCAACAGAAAAATCATTTACGTATCTAATGCACTCATAAAAATGTTCTACTTTCTACTTGGTAGGGCGAGAAAATTACGTAAGAATACACTTATCTGTGGTGGCATGAAGTGATAATGATTCATACTGTAAGTGTCCAGAATCTTATTTTACTACTCACCACAGCGTGACCTCTTGTAACCAGGGAACACTAAGTGATTACATTTTCATGTTACAGAAGTTCTTCTCAGCTGTAATAACACTAACTATCTATCCATATTAACCCACCATGACACTTCCTAATTGGCTCCAGGTGGATTCAGACAGAGCAGCTCTTCTGATGTTTTGCTGTTTGAAAAGTCACAGCATTTTATACGCAGCAGGTGTCTCAGAGGACCGGTTTCTGTGGCTAATTACTGGTTAAAAATAAAAGCATCTTGAAGCCTGGTGCAAATATCTGGTATTGAATGGACAAAAATAATACTAAGTATTTTTTTATATGGGGTTAAGCAGTTTGAATCCCCAAATTATTTGATAAACTGATGTTTTGAAGCTTGTAGCCGAATTGAATATGCTTCGAGGGAGTGCAAAGATTTGTGACTATGTAAAGCTTTGAGTGTATACAGTTTAATAAAAGTTTAATCAGAGTGGTTTCAGTTGCTTTTCTGCAAAACAGAGATAGGATT